GTCCACGGTGGTCTCGGAAAACGAAGCCTTGGTGGTCTCGGTGGTCTCGGCAAGCGAGACAGAGTCTCGGTGGTCTCGGCATGTGGTCTCGGCGAGCGAGACGGGGTCTCAGTGGCCTCGGCATGTGGTCTCGGCGAGCGAGACAGAGTCTCAGTGGCCTCAGCATGTGGTCTCGGTGAGCGAGACGGAGTCTCAATGGCCTCGGCATGTGGTCTCGGCGAGCGAGGTGGAGTCACGCTGGTCTCGACATGTGGTCTCTGCATGTGGTCTCTGCATGTGGCCTCTGCATGTGGCCTCTGCATGTGGTCTGCATGTGGTCTCTGCATGTGGTCTCTGCATGTGGCCTCTGCATGTGGCCTCTGCATGTGGCCTCTGCATGTGGCCTCTGCATGTGGCCTCTGCATGTGGCCTCTACATGTGGTCTGCATGTGGTCTCTGCATGTGGTCTCTGCATGTGGCCTCTGCATGTGGCCTCTGCATGTGGTCTCTACATGTGGTCTGCATGTGGTCTCTGCATGTGGTCTCTGCATGTGGCCTCTGCATGTGGTCTCTGCATGTGGTCTCTACATGTGGTCTCTGCATGTGGTCTCGGCATGTGGTCTCGGTGAGCGAGACGGAGTCATGGTGGTCTCGGTGAGCGAGACGGTGTCTCAGTGGTCTCGGCATGTGGTCTCGGTGAGCGAGACAGAGTCATGGTGGCCTCGGCATGTGGTCTCGACGAGCGAGACGGAGTCTCAGTGGTCTCGGCATGTGGTCTTGGCGAGTCTCAGTGGTCTCGTGCTCATGGCCAAGGGGGTTGCGGCTGACTATCATCGACTTGGTCTACGCGGCTATCTTCCGGTCATCACAGTGATGCTCTACGGCTACGTTCCAGTCTAGCGAGGTGGTCGGGTGAGCCGGTGGTGGCTGCGCCATGGCGGCGGCGTCGTGAGCGCGGTGTGAGTGTGCTCGGCTATAGCGTCCATGGGGCTAGGAGGGGTCTACGATGTGGTCGTGGATGCTGTGCTTGTGTATCCAGAGGTCGGAGATGGCCTTGGCCTATGCGCTCACGGTGTGGAGCGCCATGGCCGGAATAGCAGAGTCCGGCGGCGAGCAGGGGAAAATCGGGCGCTCACCGTAGGTGTCGTGGGAGATAGGATGGTGGTGTAGTGGAGAGTCGTGGCCATGTAGACAGAAGCAGTGCAGTGCCGACCCGCAACGGTGATGAAGATGTCGGCGTCGTCTCCTGCTCTGGCGGCTTCGAAGGTGCTCCGACGGAGACTCCTTCTTCCTCCTCCCTCTCCCTTCCTTCTTTCTCTCCTTTCTCTGGCTCGGTGAAGTGGTTGGCCACCAAGTGGCGGCGGGGCGATGGGGCGAACGCTAGGGCAACCGAGGGTCATGGCTTTTATAGCCGGAGCTCTAAGCTCCCATGGCGGATGACGGAACGGCTGGTGATGTGCCGAGCGCATCGGACGGCTCTCGTGCGTGGGGGCGGTTGCGTGGGCGCGGCGCTAAGGTGGGGAACAGGGTCATGCGATGTGCGTGAACCTAGGCCCGCGTCTGCTCCTTTGGTCGGGGCTCGGTCGAGAGATGAGGCTGGCGTGGGGAAGAAGATGATCCTGTGGTGGGCGGTGACGAGGGGGGCTCATCTCGTCGACTTGTCTGATCTTGGCGGACGTCTTGATGCATGACGGTGACGGTAGTCCGGTCCGGCTCGTCGATGGCGTGCACGTGTCGGGCGATGATGTTTGGGCTTTGGTGTTGGTTGGTCGGTCGAGGCTAAGCTAGCTGAGAGCTTTGCCTCCCTCTTCTTACCTTTAGTATTATGTTACACTTCTCTCCTGTATATAAATCAAAGTGGCCTACTTCTCCTCTGATAAAATGTTCCATGGTGATAAACATTGGTCAAAGTATTTATTGGGATATTAATTCCATATTAGTTCATTTATTTATAAACACATATTTGTTAGCTTTTATTTAATCAACACATAAATCAAATAAAATCCAAATCACCATGTTGAATATAATGCAACTTGATGTATGCTATGTGGTAAAATAAATTCTAGGTGATGATGTGAGATACTCGTGCTAGTCATATAGGTTTAGTTAGTGCAAGGTTAGGGGTTTTCCTACATGCCACATCATCACTCAAGGGTTTTGAAGAAAGAAAAATTTTGTAGTTGGAATTTTTGGTGTGTGGATTTTTGGGTTGTTACACAAAGGGCCCCGATGGCGGCAAGGATGGGCCCTCCTCCACCTGCTTGAACTGGGCCCACTCGGCGGATGACAGGCCGCCGAGGCCATCCTCTTCCTCTTCGTTGTCATCGTCCTCTGACTCCTCCTTGGTGTCATCCTCCACCTCCGAGCCTTGCTGGTGCCCCCTATGCTGTAGCTTCGCTCGCTCCTTCTCCGCCTTCTTCTTCTTCTTCTTCTTATCCTTCTTTGCCTTTGCCGTGTCAGCCGTGGCGCGGTTCGCCGCCCTCCTAGCCATGTCCGATGGCAGTGGTGGGTCGGAAGTACGAACGAAGAGGCCACGCTACAAATCCTGGCGCTTAGAGTACAAGAACAGAGGAGGGTCGGCCAAGGAACAAAACTTGAAGAAAGCTTACCAGTTTGACGAAGCCCGCATTCGGCTGCATCGCGGGATGCCCTAGGACCGGGTACACTAGGGCGAGATCCATCGATGGATCCGTCAGGCACTACATCACCTCCTTGATGCGTTGTTCAGCTTCACCAACACTAAGGGCTTCACCAACGACCATCACCGTCCCTTTGGGCACGGAATCTGGCGTCATCTTGTACATCGGGAGGACACGCGCCATCAGCGGCGCCAACCTTCTGACATGGTACGCCCCGATGACGCTGGCCCCACGAAGGCCATGGCTCTTCAGGTACTTGATGGCTTGGAGAACATCACTGAGCCTCTTCCTCTCCTTCTCGTTGGGTCCGTACCTCTAATGCTCCTGCGCCTCCTTGATTAGGCGGTCGGTGAAGATCGACATGGGGTCAGCGGCATTGTTCTTTAGATAGAACCAGAGTTTATGCCACCCCTTGTTGGACTTCGACAAGGGGATGTGCATATAATCTGACGACCGGTGGCCCCAGAGTCGGATGCTCGCGCACCCCATCGGCACCGCCAAGTCTGGCTTCTTCTTCTCCTTCTTCTTCTGCAGCTCGACGTAGAAGAAGTACTTCCACAGCTCAAAGTGCGGCTCAATCCCCAAATACCCCTCGCACAAGGCGACAAAGGCGGAGATGTGCTGAATCCCATTGGGATTCAGATGCAGCAGTTTGAGGCAGTAGTAGTGAAGTAGACCTTGGAGAAATCGATGGGTAGGAGTCGCCAACCCATGCTTGTGGAAAGGGACGAACAAGACAACGTAGCCATTAGGCGACGACGACACGTCCTTGCCACCAGGTACGAGCCAGTCTGATGCCTCGGTCCTTGCGTGGAGAAGGCCCTTCTTAACTAGGTCCTCCATGCGTGAGTGGACGACATTGGAATGAGGCCATGGCTCCATCGCAAGGTGAGGGCTAGGGGCAAGGACTTCGCCGGTGGCGGGGTGGAAATAGGAGAGCAAAGTTTGGGACTCAAGAGCAAAAGGCAGAGAGGTCGAAGGGGCAAGGATGCAGTTGCGCATACGAAGGACGGGGGGAAACAGCCCCGTTTATAAGGTAAAGGGCGTAACGGGCGAGAAGCGGACCAGTCGCTTAGATTGCCGCGCCCCACATCTCGCCAGATCTGCATCCTCTGGGAAACGTGCCCTTACTATAATGGCCACCTCAATCACGTCGCTACCCCGAGAAACATGCACGTGCCTATCCCAATCTTCCCCGTGAAGGATCCGGTGGGCAACGGCTCACCTTCAAAGGCCACATGCCACCACAGGTAAAAAGGATACGAAGCTAAAAACGCTCCTACGGCCCGTTAAGGCCTAAGAGTTCAAAGGCCAGCCCACCGGTGGGTTCACAGACGCTTAGGGCACCCTAGAGTGAGGGGATGTAAAGGACGGGCCCGCTAGCGGCCAATACCCAAGGTGCGCAAAGCGCCATGGGCATCCTGACCCTCATTTTGAGTCTTGGATGATGCAAGGTCCATGGTTTTTCCCCGAAAGAAAGGCATTAAGCCCTCAGACTAGTCAAACGGATCTGAGAACTATATGGACCTGCCGCCAAGAATTTGGAGTCGGTCACCAGCTGATCTTGAACTGGGCCCCCACGAAAGGGATGCCGGGGCTCCACTCTAACAAACCCGTTAATAACTCACCGAGCACCATGCTCCATCCAGCGAGGAAGGCATGGCACGGCTCAGCCCCTCTATTCTAATGAATGAACACATGAGGGATGACGATCACAAGGTGAACCAACCCCCCGACCAGATTCCTGCTACGTGTGGGGGCTCGAGGGCTCGGCATCGCAAAGTGACCAAACACGCGGTCATAGGCAAAACAATAGATCACCTCTGGTTGCGGAAACTGTGGACGAGGAGATACAAGGCAACCGACCCCGATAGGGCCCTAAGTGGCTCGGGGACTCAGACCGCCTAAATCCCCACTTGGGAAAACTGGCCAGCCGTACTGGCTGTGGTCGGAGCATACACGGACGAACCCCCTGACCGGCAGAGTACCGAAATGCTTAGCCTCCGACCGACTCCCTAGTCGGCCGTAGGCTCTGGGGCTACACTCACTAGGTGTGCTCGTGCGCACCCAGCGGAAAGCGGCCTCAACCGGTCTCCTCCTCGGGGGCTGGGCGCCCGTACCCACTCGGCGTGCCTCCACGGCCTTTGCCAGACCTCCCCTAGAGGCTGGGTGCCTAAATCCCACTCGATTACCTTACGCAGGTACAAAGGGAGAAAACACCAAAAATCCAATAAACAGCTCGCCTCCACGGCACAAATGGCCACAGGAATAACAAAACGATAGAAGCTTTCATTAAGCTCAAAACAGAAGCCCTAGGCTTTTACAAGACCACGCAGAGCGTGCGTGGACAGTTTTGAGACTGCAGGCGGCCACGTACCTCACCTGGCCCCTCGACAGCCTCCTCCCGTCCCACTCGCTCGTGGTGATCCACTGAGGATCCCCAGCAGCCGGGAGGAAGTCATCCTTGTCGCCGTCCATCGCCCCGACGCATGGCGGGATGAACGCCACCAAGACTGCTCTGCACCTTGGAGCATGAAGCAGAACAAGGGTGCCAAGATCCTTGTTCTCCCGCAACAATGCTCCCTCCTGCTCCTCCGTGCTCTGATACAGAATCCAGGTCCAAGGCATGGCTGGGTCACATGATGCTCTCACCTTATGAGAGATCTTCTAGCATTGTGGCCCCCGGGCATGCTTAGAAAGGCTCTGGAGTAAAGGAGCTCGGAGCAGCTATTACGAAAGATCTTCTGGCATCAGGAGTAGCCGAAGCCATCCCTGGTGAAAACCAAGAGCCTCAAATCAACTAGTGCTATAACTTGAGCCATGGACGCACCCCAAGCAGGGGCAGCTCTGTTTATAACCGAGGCAATGAGCTACCATCCAAGGTGCCATAGCATACGTCCGTAGCTAGACAGCAAAGATGCCTAAGCGCAAGACGATGGTATAGTGTCCCCGTGAGGCTGATCCTTATCCAGAATCTGGCATAGCATCCCCATGAGGCTGGTCTTTATCTAGAATCTGGAGCCAACGCTCACACGCGGCTCACCATCTTGTGAAGCGACAATGACAAACAGTACTCCCGTGCGCCCCCAACGTGACGGGTCGCAAAAAAGCTTGTGCAGGAGTGTCCCACTCCTCCACAAGCTCGGGGGCTACTGTCGGGTATCAATATCAGGGGTACCCGGCATAAGGGATTTGGTGAACAAACTCTGAACTTGCCTGAACGATTAGAGGTGAAAGCTATAGTCTTTTCGACCCCACAAAGGGGTCTCCTCCTCGTCCGGCCCCAGGGGCGCGGTCTCCGACTCGCCCGACCCCGAGGGCGCAGTCTCTGACTCGTTCGGCCCCGAGGACGCGAGCTCCGACTCGCCCGACCCCGGGGGCGTGGTCTCCGACTTGTTCGGCCCCGAGGACACGAGCTCCATCTCGCTCGACCCCGAGGGCTCGGTCTCCGTCTCGCCCGATCCCGAAGGGGCAAAAGTCATCTGCAATTCCAAGGTCCGTACCCTACTACGCCCTCAGCCCATACTAGGTGGTGTCATTCTATCATATCAGGCATGCACTATGTGTACTGACTTACAATAGTAGTGTGGGCATCGTCTTCTACCGTACCAAGCGAATACTGTGCAGGCTGTCAGAAACAGTAGGGCCTGAATAGTATGGCGGGCGATGGTGGCATAAATAGTAAGGCGGGCGACGGCCATGCCATACCCAACAGCATGGGCAACAAAACCAGCACACGACGCCCGCACATACACTACAGCAGCTAACAGGCCTCCGGTATGGCGCCGCTCTCGCCACAATCTACAGGGTCAGCAGGACCCAAGCAAAGAGGACGACGAAGCAACCCCGGGAGCTTTTTTCTCTTTCTTATTTTTCTCTTTCTCTTCTCCTTCTTACTCCTGTAACCTATTTTCTCCTCTTGGTCTATAAAAGGGGAGGCAGGGCACTGTTCAGAGAGAGAGGTCAATTGATCAGTACTTCAACTCCACTTCATCCGAACCACACCTTAGAGACTTGGGAGCACCTCCCTCTCCCGCATGTTTGTAACCCCCTACTACAAACTCAGTGCTGGTAACACGAGCAGCCCAAAACTAGACGTAGGGACATTTGGCCTGAACTAGTATAATCCTCATGTCCTCTTAGCACACCATCCGGGCTCGACGCGCAATACACAAATTTACTAGCCGGTGGATTCGAAACACCGACACCTCTCTTCCTTATATTACAGAGATGCACTTCTTTTCTCAAGTGAAAGATGGTTCCATTTGACTTGTTTACCTTGCCTTCAGCACGATGGGAAATTTTCCATCATGCCTAGATTTGCTTAGACAGGAACTTGCCTCTCCCGCAACCATATGGAAATTTCCTTTGGTAGATGTTTTTTTCCTAAAAAACATACATGTGGTTAAAATTTTTTCCAGCGCCATGATTCTATCAAAAACTCAAAATGGAGGATTCCTGATTCCAAACGCCATGAACAATGTGTTGGAATGATCTCAGGCTCGGTCAATGGACCAAGTCTTAAGGGGCTTAACAGCCACACAATGGCCCTGATCGGGGGCACCTCTAACGGAAGAAAACGGCCTGGTCCCAAGACCGACCCACACTATAAGATGAAAGAAATCACGTTAAGATGTGACTGACCACCTAATCCACCAACTGATCAAGGTCAGTGTGGGCTCGGCTTGAAGACCAGTGACCTACTGCTAGCCATCTCTGTGCCGGCGTCCTCACCACCGACGACCACTACAGGAGGAGTACCACAGGTCTTCGCAAGGATCCAGAAGGTCTCTCTAATTGGGTAAGTCTAATTATGTATTAATTAAGGCTTAGGTGTTCTTGTAATTAGGCTAATTCAGACCCTGCATAAGCGATAAGATCTAACAATTGGTATCAGTTAAGTCGGTTAGCCTAATTCTTGAACCCTAAGACCTAAGTGTTCGATTTAGTTTTAATTAGCCTTTGGTAAATAAGTTTAAGATCTAATTAGCCATGGATTTGTCCTTTTTTAAAGTTCTTTAAGCCAAATCAAAGGCTCGGGTTTCGGTTTAGCACATAGGAGGGGAATCGAATCAATTTCAACACTAAGCCCCTGTTTCTTCCCAATTGCAAACCCTAGATGCAGAATTGCCCAAATTCCATCCCAATCCCCAACCCTAAGATCAGATAAGAAGCATTTCACTTACCTTAAGAACTAAGATGGCGCCGTCGGGCTCCTGTGCGAGCTCGCCGGCGGCCACAAAAGGGACCCACGCCATCGCCCTGCATGTGCGCGTGTGGTCTCCGCCCTATGGGCGCCGGTGGGCACCCATTCCAATGAACCTACGCAAGCTCACCGCCGCCATGAGGTTCCTCCTCGCGTGTGCGCGCGGTGTGCAAAGGGTGCCACGGCGGTGCCACTCGATGGTGCCACAGTGGCGCCACCATCTCCTTCCGCCTCGCGCTTGGGCCGTCGTCATGCTCTTCACTGGTGGTTGCTGCCATGCGTGAGAAAGGCGGGGGAGAAGAAACAAATGCCTAGGGTTTTTGGGCAAGATTAAATACCAGCCATCGAATTGATTTGGACGGCCGAGATCGTCTCGTGCCTAAGCTGGCCAGCGGGGGGAGAAGTCAGCCTGATAGCCTTCACCGGCCTAGGCCTAGGTTGGCTCCCTTGGCTTACGTTCTTCCAAGTGACTTGAAAGCACTCGGAGGGGAGAAGCGAACTCGATCGGTGTTGATCGAGTCCCTTGTTCCGCCGGAGTGGTCGGCACAGCACCTGGAGTGCTCGGCACCCCAGCTGCAGTGCTCAGCACCACTCTTGGAGTGGTCGGCAGCACTACAGGAGTGCTCGGCACTAGTCCTGGGGTGGTCGGCACCACTTCTCGACTGCTCGGTCTCGCTATTGGAGCGCTCGGTACCTGTCCTGGAGTGGTCAGCACCATTGCAAGATCACTCGGCACCACTCCTGATGTTCTTGGCACCCCTCCCGGAGTGTTCGGCTCTGCTACTGGAGTGGTCAGCACCACCTCTCCAGCATCTCCACCACCGTGGATGACCATGTGCTCGACGATGAAGGTGTTGCAGAAGCCGCCAGCTTCCCCCGTGCTCGGACTGTCCTAGTCCCAGGCCCCCTTCTCGTCGGACACGACGTCGCGAGAGACAACCACCTTGCCTCCGCATGGGTCGTAGAGCCGGTACGCCTTGGTACCCTCCTCGTAGCCCAGGAGCACCATCGGTGTGCTCCTATCCTCCAACTTGGTGAGGACTGGCTTTGTCTTCCTAACATGGCCGATGCAACCGAACATCCTGAGGAAGGACACGCTCGGCTTGCGCCCATACCAAGCTTGGAACGGCATCAAGCCCTTCAGGGCCTTCGTGGGTGCGCGGTTGAGGATGAACATTGCCGTGGTCACTGCCTCACCCTAGAACTTTGCTAGCATGCTCTTGGCCTTCATCATGGATCGAGCCATGCCGACCACCGTCTGGTTCCGCCGCTCCACTATGCCATTCTGCTACGGCGAGTACGACGCGGTGTGGTGTCGCACCACACCCTGATCCGCACAGTACACAGCAAACTCCATCGAAGTGAATTCACCACCGCGATCTATCCTCAGCATGCGCAGCTTCTTCCCGGACTCTGCCTCCGCCCGCGCCTGGAACCTCTTGATCGCGTCTGCCGCCTTGTCCTTGCTCGTCAGGAGTTGCAGCCATATGTAGCGACTGCAATCATCCACAAGCAAAAGGATGTACTGCCAACCACCATTTGTGGCCGGCGTGATTGGCCCACAGAGGTCGCTGTGGACGAGCTCAAGAGCGCCTACCGCGCGATACTTGGCTGCCTTGGGAAAAGGCAGCCTCCTTTGCTTCCTAGCCAGGCAACTGTCACATAGCTCGCCTGCGTGCTTGATGTGGGGCAGCCCACGGACTATCTTCTCTAGCCGACCGAGCGCGTCAAAGCTGAGATGTCCGAATCGAGCATGCCACGGCCACGGTTCCTCGGTGTGCCGCGCCGCCAGGCACACCAGCTACTCCACCTTCAAGTCGAGCAGGTACAATCGATTGCGTGAGCGTTTTGCCTTCACGAGAAGACGCCGCTCCCGATCCCGATTCTTTAGGATCCCGCTCTCGATCAGTACCTCGCACCCGCGCTCGTCCAGCTGCCCGATGCTAACGATGCTCGAACGCAGCTGCGGGATGTAGTACACATCCGTCAGCGCGTGGTGCTCGCCTTTCCGACAGCGGAAGATGACGGTGCTATGGCCTCGAATCTCCACCTTCGAGCTATCACTGAACCGCACCGACCCCATCACGCTGTCGTCGAGCTCGGAGAAAGCCGCCTTGGAGCCAGTCATGTGGTTGCTGGCGCCGGAGTCTAGGTACCACCTCTACTCCACCTCACCGCCCACTCGTCCGAGATGGACTTGGGCGCAGGACTCGTCGAGGTCGATGGCCTGCGATGCAGTCCCCTGCTCTGCAGCTGCCACCTCCTCTATTTTCCCCATTGCCTCGACGTCGTGCAGTGCACAGAACATCGCCATCAGGAGAGTTGGCTCATCGTCCTCCACCTGAGCCAGGTGAGCCTCAGCCTTCTTCTCCTTCTAGTTCGGGCACTCCTTGGCCCAGTGGCTAGTCTTCCCGCAGCGACG